AGGTCGATCCCACCAGAAGACGCCGGCGGATTCCTCTTGACCAGCTGTCGATTGGACTCACTGGTCACTTTCCGAGACAATCTCCTTCAATTCCGATAAAAACAAGCAAAGCTGCTGACCGTCTTTTGAAGGACATCATAGTCTCTCCACCAAAAACTTTCACTCAAAATGAAAGCAAACTCAACAATTAGTTCGTTAATATCGCCTAAGAATAAAAGCTGTATTGCGCACATTTAAATGAGTGGGTCTCATAATACTAAAAGAGGGGAATATAAAGATTGTTTTGACAAGATTAGACAAATGCCATTATGAAAAGCAATAGGGTAAAAAATGCAGAAGTACGCAAATTGGGCCGTCGTAGAAAGATCAAGCAAGTGCTGAATAAAAGGATTCATCATTCGTTTTCTATTGAGATCAACCTACAAATCCTTTGCTCAGGCACTTCAGCACGAAGCGAAAAATGTTACTTAAGAAGATTCATCAAAACCCAGTTACTCTTGGGGGAAAATTGCAATGAAAGAGCTGAACCCTTCATCTTTCCTGCTTATTGGGAATTCAGCACTCCTTGTGAGGCCGATAATCTTTGATCTGGGCCGTGGGATCGTGAGCCGAAGACTTAATCGCACAAATCTAGAGTGGCAACTACAAAGCAAGCTCCGTTCGGCTTCAGGCCATTTTACGAATCCCTTCCATTCATCTCTTCAAAGGAAATAAAGAGTACGCCAATATCTATTTCGAAAATGCCTGAGAGGAATATTAGCCTAGAAGGTGCGCTGAGGACTTATCTATCCGAAAATTATTCCCTTCTTTTCTCATTATGTTCATTCTACTAAGTGGAAAAGTGAATAGTAAAGTGAAATCGACAAAATAAACAATATCCTGAATATGAGGAACGGATGTAGGATATTAAACAACAAATACCTCTATCTATTGAATAGGTAGGTATTTATTTACAGGTAGTCACGAGACTACTTGCATAAGAAAAATATTGAATAGGATTAGAGCGAAGAATAGAGAGAGAGAGAGATTAGGAAGACACTAAATGAGAGAAGGCTCGATTAACCTGGTAGGACTCAACCATGTCAATTTATTAGCAAGAACTGCATACACATAGCATACACGTGTCCACAAATATAAAACATGCGTCAGTATTGCAGGATCATAGGTTAGAAACTAGATCTGATTCCTTTTTATGCATCACCTTCACTTACATGCAGCAATGAAGTGGTCGTCCAAATCAAGCGAAGCCTGATTAAGATCGCAAAACCAGGTACAATGTGTAAGTCGGACTTAAGCAGGCCACCTTTTTGTATAGTGCTTAAGTGAACTTCTTGTAAATAACAGTTTCTAGCTCTGAAGGTGTCTGCCACATGACAGAAGAAAGCTCGGCATGGACTCATCGAGATGGCAGGATGGTGAGCAGAAAGCATATTGGCAAAAACCGGCAGTCACAGTTCCAAGGCCAGCCTCCTTCGGTTTCCCGTGAGGACAATTTACTAATCTCTTCCGCACGCCTTTGCAAACGAAAGGTATATGAGATGTGTTTACTATCATCACCTTATATCTGATTTACTAGTAGTCTCGAAAACCTACTCAAAACGAACGAAAGGTACAGCAGGCTCGAGACTTACTGCTAGCATCCATTTGGAGTGTAAGACACAGAGGTGAAGCTTGAGTCATAAATGTGATTTGCTGGTTTTAAAGAGCTACTAATAACATTTCAGTAATGCCTCGAGTATACTTTCAAGACGCATGTTTATTGCTATGAAATTACCCTTTAAAGGGCCAACTTCTTTGCCTTTAAATTCGCATCCGTGCATTTCTAATCTCGTCGGAGCTGCCGGTAAGAAGATTAGACGAGGAGAAAAAAGGCCATTGCAGAGTCATTCAAAGGTAAAAGTGCCTCCAGACTTTGTAGAGTCATATAAAAATGATGAATCTTGACGAAACTGGCAAGATAGGCAAAAAAAATGTGAAAAGTGATACGATTTATATTTCCATACAAGCTATCAGCAAATGTTGAATAAGAGTTCTAGTCACTATAGGTCTCCGACACTCACAAGAATGGGTATCACATTTACATTCATGATTGCGGAAAAATTCATCTATCAGCCCTTCAACATCTTATTGGACCTAGGGATAGATTCTTCTTTGAAAAACCAGAAAGTACTCATTTTTAAACTTTGTGCAAACATCAAGTGGACTTGAAGACACAGCATTAAGATCAAAAGTAACTCTTTGTACGCTAATATAAATAGTTTCAAATCCCAAATGCAAGAAGCATTTATAAAAGAGATAAGAAAGCTTTGGCGATATGGAGGCTCACTTGACGCTTGTTGGCCGGCTTCTGAGCCGATAATCGGCGAGTCTTGCCCCATACCTCGACCTAATTTGATCGAGGAGCCATCGCCAGCCCCCGCGCTTTCTTTACGTTCTGGCTCAACGGTCCCTTTGGTGCCAAGGCCTCGCAGCCTGCGATGTGCATCACCCACGGCCCCATCCTTGCAGACTCCGTCATTTTGCCTCCTCTGTTCTTCCTCCTCTTCTACTCCGGCCTCTTCCTCCTCCCCCTCTACCACAACCACCACCATCTTATCGTCTCCACATCCGTTGCCAGAGGCCAATCCACTTCTTCGCTTGGTCTCTCGACGCAATCGGCGCTTTCTTGCCTCATTCGCATCGAATTCGGGATCTTTCGGGCTGCGTGACACCAAGAAGCATGGGTATTGAGGCGGCGGTGGTGGTGAGCCGGGCGCAGTAGGTGGTGAGGTCATCTCACCGGCTCGTTTTAAAGATGAGTATGTGAGGCAAAAGGCTCGTGAGACCTAGAAACTCCGGAATTCCGATACAGAATGATGCCCAATACAGTCTGAGAGGAGGGACGGGCGTGAGGCGAGAAAAGGGGAGATAAAAAGAGAGGGAGAGAGCCGCACATCAACTGATAAAAGCATCTTTATATAGTAACGATGGCCGAAGCGACTCTCTGCCATGCGAGGGCCTAAAGTGAAGCAACCCGGCCATGACGAAGTGGTAGGCACCGGCTGGAAGACTGATGATGAAAGCGAAGGCTAGAGGCGAACGAAACCAAATCCTTGTAGGAGAGGAGGCCGACTTTCTCGGCTGCCACCCGGTCGCCATTCGAGCGATTCTAGAGCAGGAAAGACGGACGGACTGAGACGAAGAGGATATGATGGGATAGGAGAGGGTTGGTCACCCACAGGCAACAGATGAATCCAGACCAGACATAGAGGAACCAGTTCATAGGGCCCTCCTTTCCCAGATGCTTACTGATTGCCGACCTGTTCGTCTCTTTTCCGCTCCTTTCCAGGCTTCCCGCGGATGCGGAGCAGGAAAGTGGGTTAAACTCGCAAACCCAACTAACCACATAAGCACAGACAGAGAGTGGTCTGGAGCTGCAGGAGAGTAACTGCCGGAGCCAGGACAAGGGCATACGAATGTTGAGTTGTTGAGCCTCGATGGGGTTGCCTAACTGCACAACACAATACGTCTCGTGCGTTTCGTCGTCCCCGTAATTGGGTCTGGGGGCTTTCAGCAAGGCAGGCCGGCAACGAAGAGGGCAGCAATTGAGTGTCCGAACCCCGAAGATGCGGCCCACTTCAACTGGATCAAATGGAATGAGGAAAACAGATAAAATATGCAGTGATCAAAGTGAAAGCGTCAACAAAAAGTTCAGCTGAAAAAAAGACAAACATGGCCAGAACTCATTAAAACTGGCATCTGAAAGG